CTCACCACTGTTAATATCTGTCATTTGGCAATAGGCCTGCTATGTGTTGGTACATTGTCAATGTTTGCAGAATGCACAGTGGATTGGCATTGAGACTTTCTGGTGACAACTGTTAGTGCGTAGCATTTAGCAATAAACCTACTCGACTGATTTCATCTGTGCCTGAATCTGTCGTTTCTGGGGGCTCTCAGAGATCTCCTGTTTTAACCCAAGTGCACGGGATCTAACATCCCTACTACTAATAATAAGCAATTAAACACCAGATCTGAATGCAGGAGGGGTTTACTGAGGTCTGGAGTGTGGGGGGGATGGTCTCCCTCCTGGGGATTTGGTGTTAGACTGAGGTCCGGAAAAGACAGACACAAATGCCTGATCCAGATCAAATCTGGTTTTATTAAACTATAAAACTACGGCTACATGATTGAATAAAAACTCAGAATACATGAACACAGAGGGGATGGACTAGAACACACTGCATGTGGATACAAATGTCATAAAAAAGCCCATTTAGCTATAATGGATATTAAATGCTCATTGTTGAAAGAACAGAGAAAAGAGAAAATGCGGCTTCCGTCAGTGGTGCCGACTTTCCCTCCCCAAATTCCAGGGACCCAATTCTGCTGTCAGTTACACTGGTGCGAACCGAAGTTGGTGGAATAAAAAGTGAGGTAAGTTAGGAGAATCAGGTTTACTGGATCTTAAAAATGTTATAAAAACAACAAGAGACCGTAGCCCTGAATCACGGCTAAGCTACATGTTTTGGTTAAACTGGCTATTGGGTTTTCATGGGGAATCTGTAGATGTTTTATTAAACCAGCTTTTAACAATATCCAGTTTTCCTTGTACAAATGTTTTGAATGCAGACCGTTTTTCTTCATGCTTCTTGTACAGATCCTTCTCGCCTTATTATCTCAGCTACTTCCCTTACTTCCCGCAGTGATTTTAATCTTTCCTGGTACCCAGGCTTCAGTTCCTGTTGCTCCGACATGATCAGCAGGTCAATGTATTCCGGAGTGGACAGCGGGTTGGGTTTCAGAGCGATTTCTTGCAGACATTGGAGGCTGCGGGATGATTTATCAATCAGCTCCATTAATATCTCTTCCACTGCAGCGTATTCCTGAGACAACTTCTCAACCACGTTCTGTGTGGACAGCACCTCCCCAGACGCCTTCTCGTACTTCTCCTTCAGTTGTGCATAGGTCTGTTTCTCTTTTACTACTTTGTATTCCCACTTGTACCTTTGATTGAAATGAACAGTCCAGTCACATTTCCCAGGGCACACCTGACAATATCCTGTAAACCAGTTTATCGCTGCACACCCACGCTTGCCATCATCATTAGGGATTGCACAGGCATGGTGACACATATAGTGACAGTTCTGGCAGTTGGTTATATACTGACTTGTCCCAGAGATGTCTGTTTGCACCGGCACTGTTTTCTCCACCTCATACTCAAAGTCTTTATTGGCCTCCATGTCACCCTTATGCTGCTCCAGAGCTTCCTGTGTCTTCCGCAGTTCTTCCAGCTTCACCAGGCCGGCTTTGATTTGTGGCTGCAGCCCTTCCACGGCCACCTCCAGCTCCTTCCGCTCCCTGAGAACCTCCTGCGTTAACGTCAGACTCCTGGGTTCCAATTTCTGTAAGGCCCCAAAAAATGTCTGCATGCTTCTGGCTCCCATTTTCCAGAACATTTCATCAAAATTACAACTGCCCTCGTCAGCTGCAGCATTACAGGCAAAGAGTGCGGAGTTATTGAATTTGAAATGATATGGGTTGCCTTGAGAATCCTTAGCACAAGGGACAGCAGCTGTTTTAATGGCCTCTAGCACTGGGGGGGGTCTGCCCATCAGCGAAGGTGACCAGGATTAGGATGTTGTCTTTTATGTCCTTCCCGAAAATGGAGAGCACTGAGTCAAACACGTACAACTTTGATCTTTCATTTACCTGTTTGACTTCTTTTCCATTCACCTTGTCCGACTCCTGGGAGCCATGGGCACCTTCCTCCTCCTGGTTGTCTAGCTCTTCAGGCTGCCTCGTGAGTGGTTGGGTTTCGGCATCAGCTGGGCCAAAGGGCTCCCTTCAACTTCTCCTTGCTCCTCAGAACTGTCGCTGATGTAGCGCTTTCTTCTTGGCACCAAAACAAAGTTGGTGAAAGAAGCCATGTTTCTGCTCAGCGTTTGCACGATCTCTGAAACACGCGCTCTTGGAACAAGATGGCCTCTTTTGTGTGGCGCTAGAACTTATGGGGAAGTGCTATGCTCTGATTGGCAGAGGGTGTCACGGGAAGCTCTTAGAGGGGTCTCACGATCTGCTTCCAGTCTCAACCGGTCCCGGAACTGCCCCACGATTGGTCACAGCGATTTGCGGGGCAGTCCTACAGGGGAAAAACCCTTCCTGATTGGTAGAGGGAGGCAGGGCGAGTCCTTAGAGGGGTCACATGACACCCCTTACTTCCAGTCACCTGTCCCTCTTGACCCCGGATGTATTACCCCCCAAGGGCGGGACTTCAAGTTACAGGGGCAGGACTTCCGGGGTCAGGGGTCAGGGCTAACGTTTGATTGATAGTAGGGCCCTTATACTACTTTCCTGAATAAAGCTGGTTGCTTAATAAGGGTGTCTGGAATTGATTTAGTAGGGGTTTTGGGCCCTAATCCAAACCCTCGGATTAAATTCTCTGTCAGTGGCCCACATAGTTCTCCACACAGAGGTCACTTGCTAATCCGGTCCCAGAGGTTGGTCAATATCGGTGAACTGACTTGTCATGATTATGAGGGTTAGCCAGCAGCCTGGGGATTAAGGGGTTAACTACACCTAGCCAGGTGGAGTGACCAATAGGAATGTAGGTGGGACTTTCAAACTGGGACAAAGGAATTTGGGTTTTTTCCTTTCTCCTTTTGTCTCTCTGGGTGTGTTCTCTGCAGCTACAGAAGTTGTAAGCGGGGGAATGGTCCCGCTCTTGTGGGGAACTTTCCTGGCTTCTATACACCCCGGTGAAATGAACCAGCGAAAGGATCTGAGTCCCCGCTCCCACTTCCTTTACCCCCCGGCTCCCTGATCCTGAGGGCTCCCCCTCCACTCTCCTGAGTAGCAGAGCCCTTGAAACCCCAACAAGGCTGGGCCCAGGTTTCCTGGGGCTTAATCCCTGACCTTGTAGTCACTAGGGGCAGGAGTTAGGGTGTCCCCACTCCGAGGTGCTCTCTTTACACTGCAGGCCTTCTTGGCCCAGTGATCACTTCATAAGGTTCAAAGCAAATACAATTTATTAAACATCAACTGATTAAAGAGAATAGAATAAGAAACAATGAGAATGGTTAAATGAGAACACACAGCCCTGCTCTGTAGCACAG